CATGACATTGAAGGCAACTCTACTTTGAGGGGGCAGCTCTTCCCCAGTCTTATTTTTGAGTGCCCTCCAACCTGATGAGTTCATCTTCTGGCACTACATCAGACAGTGTTCTGCTGCTGTCCATATAAAGTTGACAATGGCTAACCTTCTGGTGTGGTGCTAGAGGATAAGTACTGGACTACTAACCCAAGGTCGGTCATTCAAACCTACCACCTTCTCTTCGGAAACCATATGAGTCGGAACTAACTCGATGGCATTTAACAACAACCTTTCAGACGTGGTCTGCCTCTCATTCTTCCTACTCTGTCTTAGTTGGAAGCGCGGCTGAAACCTGTCTATCAGTAGCATAGCTTCTAGCATCAAAGCAACACACAAGCCATCACAGTGTGGCCAACTGATAGACAAGTGGTAGTGAGAAGTCTATTAGACAACCAAATAGAGACGTTGAGTCAACTAATGGATCTAAGTTTGGAATTAGGATATGTTGTTTTTAAGTGCTGCTGAGTCGGCTCCCACTCATAGTGACCCTGTTTAGGGTTTCTGAGGAGCAGCTGGTGGGATTAGGTTTTAGTTGCTATAAAGCCAGAAGACTGAATGAAAGAAATGATCAAGATAGTAATGGTAAAGAGAAAAGAATTCAGAGGACTGAGCCCTGGGCAGTCTTGCAGTTTGTGAAACAGAGGAAGAACTAACAAAAGAAACAAGGAGCATGACCTGGAAGTTAAGTAAAGTATTTTCAGGAGGAGAAAGCAATTGTTTCAAATGTTGTTCACAGGTTAGATGGTAAGAATTTGATTTGTTAAGTCGGTTCTGACTCAAAGTGACCCTGTATTGTTGCGGACCGTGTAAGACTAGTCAGAGGTTCGAGGCCCTCTAGGGCCGAGTGTAACAAATGAGGCCACTGGCAGTTAATGGCAAATTGCTTTCATCTTAATATTCAGTTATATATATTAAATTAATACACGGAGCCTTTGACAATCCACAGATAAATGTGATATTTTCCTAAAGCCGAGACTAAAGGTTGCAAGGTTAAGCCTTTCTCTAAAGGATTAACTAAAATCATTTTAGCCACTTCTCAGTTCTTTGTTCTATAGACAAAGAACCCATCCTCCCTAATCCTTTTCCAGGTGCAGCCCAGGAAAAGGCTCAGGAAGCTGAAACAGCGGGACTCCGCCCAAGCTTTTGTCATTACTCTCACCTTCCCCCACCTGTGCTCAGGGGCTATAGATGTGTTAATTGGGCCTGAGAATTCAAGTTGTGGGCCTGGGATTCGAACCAGCGAAGTACGATGTAAAGTTACCTGAATGTCTGGAAAAGTACTGATGTTAGCTGTACCTTGCCTAAGTCCCTCCCAGCTTGGTGTAAAGCTCCTCCGGTGAATAAAGCAGAGGCCCGGGCCTCCCCAGGTGTGCATTACTGGTTGGAAGGCATGGAGTAAAGATTGCAGTGCATTACAAATGGAGGGCACGCAGTAAAGATGGCAGGGCAGTGAGTTGCTGCCTGCAGAGGCCACGATGCCTGTAGTCCCAGGCCTGCCCACCAGTGATGCATCCACCCTGGCTTTGGGGTGCCTCATTGTCTCTCTCTTTGTCTCTTTCTGTGTATTCTTGATATATATGAATCGCCATCAGGTATCCCCTGCTCGTGAACCGAACCCCTATGTTGAGGCGGATCCCCGACACTGTATAGGGTTTCCAAGGAGCAGCTGGTGGGTACAGTGCTGATCCTACAGCGTTACACCAGGAGTCTTATTAATATCCTTTACAACTAGTTTCAGTGTAGTTGTGAAGTTATGTCTGATTGGGATGCTTTAAGAGAAAATTGAGAATTTCCTCAAGTTCCCACTAATACTTCTGCTTACCTAAACTCTTTCTGAACCTCTTTCATCTTACCTTCACTAACCTATTAAAAGTTAAATGTCGAGTCAGTCCCAACTCATAGCAACCCTGAATAGAGTTTCCAAGGCAGTAAATCTTTGCAGGAGCTGAAAGCCTCATCTTTCTCCCATGGAGTGTCTGGTGGTCTCAAACCACTGATCCTGTGGTTCTCAATCCAGTGCTTATCCTACAGAGCAACCTGGTATGGTGCTGTAGGATAAGCACTAGACAGCTAACCTCAGAAACCTTATACAAGGTCACTGAGTTAGAATTTACTCTCAGTGTTCCTTAACAAAATAACAAACCTATGAAAAAATGTCCCAAGAAAATTTCCCTCCCTCTCTTGCATCATAGTTATTTTCTCCCTAGTGCATCATTCCCATCAACATAGCAACATGCCGTTCTTTTTCCCATCTTAAAAAAAACAAGAAAAACATTTCTTGATCCAGTTCCCCCTTTCAGCTACTTCCCATTTTTCTCTTACTCTTTATAACAAAACTCATTGAAAGGACTCTCTACTGCTGTCTCCAGTTTCCCAGTTGGATTAAACCATGTGAGAATGAAGAAGAAATAGAGAAACAAGGATATTAAGATTGTATGCAAACATGTAGTGATGATTTGCCATGTAAATATAAACTAGTTAGAAGAAGAGAATACTTCAGTGGATGAGAGATATGAAAAAGTGGTGGCATGAATGCATAAAAGTTCCCCATGGGGCAGGATTTCAGGATCACTGGAGATGGCGTACTAGTATGAATGAGCAGGGAACAGAGAGAGAGTTAGTGGTTGGAGACTGGGGCATTTGAGATCAATGAAGCGTTTCAGTTCTTGTAATAAATTTATTTAGAGTTATGACCAAAAGTTGGAGCTGAAGCAGAAGACAGTATTATCAAAGGAAAGGTACTAAGTAACTGAGAAGTCAAGACATTGGAAGAATCATCGGTACAAGTTTTGAAATTACCAGGAAGTATAACTAGCAGTGTTATAGAGAGTGAGAATGAGGCAGGAACTTAAAGGAATGAGAGCCTTTGAGAGGAGGTTATAGCAGATGACTGTAGCAAGAAATACCTGGGTAGCAGAAGGCATGGGCTGATGACATGTTTTTAATGGAAGGAAAAGAGAATGGCCAGAAAGCAGCAGTGAGAGATAAGGAAATCTCCTCCAGCTCCAGGCCTAATACCATAAGAGGTGTGGGAGAGAAAATAGCCACTGATTGAAATATGGCTACAGCGGCAGCAATGTCATCTAAAGTCCCAAGCTCAAATTGTGGTAGGTGAAGCAAAGAGGTTGGATGTTTTTCACAGACTAATATTTTTAGAGTCCTCAAGGTAGATACATGAGTACAAAGTATTTTTATATAAAAAATGGCCATGAAACAGTAAGTGAAACTCAGCTTCATGTTGGGAAGATAGGGAAAGGCAAGGGACAGTTTTGAAGAGGAACCATTACTTTCTGTTGTCATCGCAGAATTCACGCACTATTACCACATCTTTTCATTTTTCAGGGTTGCTGAAGCTATGGATTTTTGTGTGAACAAGACGTAAAATAATGGCTCAAATATTTAAAAAAATAAAACATGTCAGAAACTGCAATTAGCCATTCAGTCACAATTATGTGAAGCCTTTTTTTTTTTTTTAATAAAATGACTTACATGTATTTGTAAGTTCAAGAGTCAAAGTCCATAATTGTCAAACCGACTGTCTTCCTTACCTTGTTGGGTTGAGTTAGCAACATGTCATCATACAAGTATAACTAAAGTGACTATGTACAAGTTTTTCAAGCGGAGCTTTAACTACCAACAACTTATCAGTTGCTTGTTAATTATTTCTCAAATAAATCATCTCTCATTCTATTTCTTTTACTTTCAGTTTTATACCTGATAATGGAATTTCTTTGGAAGCGAATCACATTTAACCTTTTATGGTCTGAACTGGTAATAAAAATTAGATCTCATATAATTATAGGAAGCATTCATTAGAGGAAAACTTGAGGATTCTTTAGGCCATAAAAGCCAACTAGTTAATTGCTAAATAGACCTATTTTTTAAAGTATTTAATGTTTCTTTAGAACCTGCCAATTTTACACTATTCACGTTGTTGTTGTTATGTGCTGTGGAGTCAGTTCCGACTCATATCGACCCTGTATAGGGTTTCCAAGGCTGTAAATCTTTATGGGAGCAGAAAGCCTTACCTTTCTCCCGCGGAACAGTTGGTTGTTTCGAACTGCTGACCCTGAGGTTCACAGCCTGATTCATAACCACTACGCTACCAGCTCCTTACACTATTCATAGTGGTGATCAAATGGGAGTTTTGGATTGAAGTAGTGGAAGCCCACAGGTGCCATTGGACTCTTTATGCCCTTGGTCAGGGCAGAGAGCCTCTGTAGACTTAGTTTTCTTATCTGTAGAGCAGAGATTAAAAATACATGTCTAACCTCCTTCATAAGGAAGCTGTTTCAAATGAGAATGTGAAAAGCTTACAGCTTGACTTTGCATGGGTACTTTATTATTTTATTAAGTTAATGAATAATATGACTTTACTGAACCTAGTGAGATTGTCTACTTAGAGGAAAATATTTTAGCTATTAGATTAGAATATGATTTAAATTTAGGAAGCCCCTTGAGTGTAAGTGGATATATAGTCTGCTTCCAAAAACAACTTTACTACTGAAAGATGACACTGCTGATGTGTGAGGTGCCCTCCCTCCAGTTTTGTTGGATGTCTGGTTGTTGGACTTTGTTTACAAATCCTGTTCATTCAGGTAACACTTGATGTACACTCTTCTCTTCTTTTGATCTTCCCTTCCCTTCCCTTCCCACACTGCACTCATTTTTTTTCATCAAAATTAATAATGGTTACTTGAGATTCATATTTAATTTAATGGGTCTTTTTAAAGCAGCATTGAATACATCACTCAGAAGAACAAGTCTTATCTGAGAAACACAGGATACTTCAGTTTCACATTAATTTTTTAAGTCCCAGTGGTGAAACCTGTAAGGCAGCTTCCTCAGAGGAAGCTTAACATTGAAGAATTCAGGGCTGCCTGTGCGTTGATGATGAGGTAATAAACTCTTTATCACATCCAGTTTGATTGTCATGGATCTTAGTGAGTCCTTTAAAATATTCAATCCTTTTTAATTACATGGTTGTTCTGCAGCCAGGGAAGGAAAAGGCTGAACATCAACACCATCAACAATATACCTGAAAGATAAAATTTAATAAAACAAAACATAATAATCATCATTCAGCGAATATAATTTAACATTTTATACAGTTACATACCTAGAGATTTGGAAAGCTATTTTTAAAAGAATGATCCCTATATTAAGACTTGTATAAAGCATAGATTTCTAAATCTAATATACTCCCATTTTTCTTCAACCCTGAATTCTTAAAAATGGTATATACTTGGTAAAACTAGTATTATCTAAACAATTCAAAGGGTAAATAAGATCCAAAGATTTGTCGTTTTAGTTCTGACTCCTTGCTGACTTGGCAAAGGGAGAAACCCTAGGCTTGAGTTTCCATTTGCTCCTCTTTAAAATCGCAGCACTCTCTGTCCCTCCATGCCCCAGGGAAAAAGCAAAAGAATAAAGCAGTTGAGCACTCTTGAGTTTTAATTTCAACCATTAATAGCTTTTAGAGATGTATCAATCATAATCTTTAATTTCATAAAACAAAATTTCAACCAATGCTGAGTTTTTTAGTCTTTAATATATCCAACATATTAGTAAATCTTCATTTTTGAGGTTACATCAGATGTAATATATAGCAACTGGTTAATTTCTCAGTGACAGGTAGAAAAGGAAAGGAGTTAAGACATAAGGTTTCAGTCACTATCTCAAAGGGGAAATCTACAATGGTCTATTTTTTTCCTTTTTAATCTTAATGTATTTAAGCTTAAAGTTCTAGGTCAGTTTAAAGTTAGATTAAGAATGAATTTTTGTCATATGATTTGAAATTATTTTACTCATGTTTCACAACAATAGAACACTTTCAAGTTTGGCTAACATGTAACTATTACAACATACTTTTAAAGGATAACTCTTCTTTGCAGCCAAAAACCTTAAAGTAATACAAAATCAAAAAGCCCTTAGAGGAAGAACAAACAAGATGGCGGATGGGGTGGACGTATAGTACAGAGCTCCAACAACAACAACAAAGAATACCCGACCAAGCAGTCTCAGGGGATGGTCCCAGAATTCTGAACCACATATAAAGGAATACTTAGAAGGTTGGAAGGCTCACAGCTGGGGGAATTTGTGGCAGAAGCAAGAAATCTATTGCTTTCTAGTCCAGGACGCTCCGCTGCTCCAGGA